AGTGAGTTCGAATATGCGGTACGCTGACTCCATATATGGCTGTAGCAAACGAGGAAAACACGGCGATTGTCGTGAATATTCCCAAGACTGAGCTGACAGCAGCTGGATGGGAAAAAGATGCCCCATTCCTCATGACAGCTTGGAAACAAGCGATCTCAGTTTGTGTACTATTCGAAAATACCCGCAAAGTAGCAGATCCCTCAAAATCTGGAATCACCAATGCAATAGCAGGAATTCCGGATACATCAGATGCAGATACTGGAATAATGGCTTCGCCACTGATTGGCTTGCTGCTATTCATGGGACATAGACTGTACCGGTTAGTCAAGTTAGGATACAGGAAAATCGCACTCACGTGGCGAAATTTGCGTTACATGGATTGAAGGTCAAATCGAACCTATCCTCTCCATCTGAGTCAAACATTAGTATCACATCTTCATGACAGGTCATTCTACCTACAAGCTTGCACACCAATATGTACTATATTCATGATTAGCAAGGTTCGAATCATTTGTCCAAGGGCAACCTACTCATTACCGACTCATTTTGTAAATTCGTGTTACCAGCGAGATGAAACAAAACGGTCATATTATCGGCGTAGTAAGCCGCGTCGAATGTCGTAACATTAATTAAACTCTGTCCACCCATGCAATCTCCAAAATTCCCTGTGAACAACGCCGGTGTTCGACTGTCAAGTAATTCAAATGTCTCTCCTGCAGAGTTTGTCCCTGTAACATATGTGGCACCGGCAGAGACTGGAGAAATGATATTAAAAATGGCGAGGGAAGATAGTAGCGCGGTGGACCATGAGGCCATGAGGGAAGGTTTTTGTGCCATCGTCAAGACGGTTGAATTGATTAATATATGGAAGCTTTCGGGGGGAAGTAGGCGTATAGGAAACGCCGCGTCAAAGGATGTTTTCGAATGTTGGTCGAGAACGAGTAGGTTTGGTATTTGTGGTTGAGGGAGGTACTGTGATCGACTGTCTCTAGGGACCCCTCAATGTAAAGTCGTAGCTCACCTAGCTTCCAGCCCAATGGATCAAGAGATCAACGTTCTCGAATGTGCACTTGATGACGTAGATCAATGGTCGAACTCGTAACAGTAAAGGATATCGTAAAGGTGTTGCGAAAAGATTGTGAATCTGTGGTGAGAGGGATTTCGTCCAAAGATATGAATCCGCCCGGTTTTGCCAGCAATGTCAATTTGTCATCAACCACAACTCAGAGGATTGTAGTCGAGATGATCAGGAATCATGTTCAATGATTCCCTAATAGTTGTTCATCTTATCGTTAAGCAGCGAGCGACAATGGAAGGTCTGTTAGGATACACGCGCAACTTCTATCGGTGTATGAGAACGACAGAGGGGTGGTATAGCTCTAGAGAGGTAGAGATACGGCGGTGGTGTTAAAGGGTGTTAGAATTTAGGTGGGTAGAAAGAGAAAGGAAGATAAACTTGGTGGAGACAAGCTCAGAAACTGTAACAAAGTTGGGTATAACTGGAATAATGGAGAATCCTTGGCTTTTGGGTGGTTCTAGGTATTGGTCTTTTTTTTCGATAGTCTCGTATCGGAAAGTCGGAAGCAGTTGATTAGTATCTTGTTCCTTGATCTGTTGATTTTAACACCTCAGGATGTTAAATATGTCTCCCGCCAATCAATTGCCCCGAGATGTTGAGGTTGAAATAGGTACGATGTAGGAGGGAGTAGATCGTGGGTAGTACTAGGTAGGTAGTAGGTAGATATTGGAGGTAGTACTCTGTATACGGAGCAGCAAACTAATAAGTGGCAGAGCACGCAACGCAAGTGCTGAGAGATTATCCGGGTGATAAGGAGGACTCTTTGGGTTCAAACTTGCATTTGTCTGTGTTTGGAATGGGAGAATGGCAAGGGTAATAACAATAATAATAATATCAGGAAGCAAAGCCAGGGTAAGACGGTGAGCTCGTATCTTTAACTTTAGGGAATTGATAGTCGCGAGCAATGGAAGAACAATTGATGTTGATATATTTATTATTTACATCATCCTGTCTGTGTTCATTTTACCAAGGAATTTCCACAAGCGCAAAAAATCTTTGAGACTATGAGATTTTGAGACTCGGAGACTATGATGGTGCTCTGAGACTCTCCCGCGTCAAATTTCGAGCTTAGGAAAATAGAGCTGCAGTGTCAACGATACGATTTCCTGATGTGCATGGGAATCTGATGCTTCTGGATACAAATGAAGCTAGAACATTCGGGAGGTTAGGAGTTGAGAGATTTCTTGGGTGTGGTGGTGCTCTCACTGGTCCATCTTATCCAACGATTTGATAATGCTTGCGCTGGACATGGATGATATGAACCTGGGCAGCGTCTTCCATTGACGAGGTGCGAACCAACCATTCAATCTTTGGAGAAGTCGCCTTCTTCTTTCCTTTCTATGTGATGGAACGAAATATATTGGAGCCAGGAGATATCTACCGTAGCAATTGAATTCTTCCCGAAAGATTCCATCCTCAAATCTTCAGTAGTATGTACTAGGTAGTCCCTCGATCAAAACATAATATCACACAGGAATTCAGTTCATAACACACATCCTTTCGGACAATTTCGCCATCTGCCATCCGCAGCGGCAATAAAATTATCTTCATTCTTGGTGGTGTGATGGCATGGAAATCCGGCTTCTTCGGGAAACACAATACGACGTCGAATCTCAGTATATCCAATAAGATGCGTCGGTAAGAATGTGTCAATCTGACTGATTTGCATTATTTATCATCCCTTGGTCCATTCCTGGCCTTTGCAAAATTCTACATGTGTTCCTGCATCTGGAATTGGATCTTGACTTTTGGTAATCTTACATCTGCGTCTCAAGCGCAAATGATTATGTACGAAGTATACGAATACTGGAATACTGTAGAGCTACTCCTCTTTCCTCGGCATGCACGTCCGAGCACTGAGTTCGTGAATCGTGTACCATGATGGTTCTGAGAATCCATTTTCTGGTGTGACCGATAACTTGGCTGAAGGGATTCAGGAACACTGATTACGACGACTCGATAGAGATGTAGCCTCAGTCGTATCGTTATTCAACGGGGCTGCGTTGAAGGAAGTTATAATTTGATTTAGTCTTCGCAATAACCTGGGGAAGGATTTAGTGTCCCTTGCCCTTCACGGTACTGGCACATGCAAGTCTAGGTAGGTAGTGTTTGCACAGCCATCCCAGTGATCGAATGTTTCCAGCCTTTTCTTCTTGGCCTGAAAGTACCACAAACCACAAAACGATCCTAATACCAGCCACAACACAACACCACACAACACCACACGACGTATCATTCCAGCTAACGATCAATAGCCAAACCGGCAGTTCATGCATTACAGTACATACCATCTTCTCGATTGTCAAACATAAAGCCACATTGACGAACGGTTACACGTCTCCTTCGGACCTTCAGAGAAAGGTCACGACATGGCCCGCGCGCTACGAGACACGACTCCTTTCGACATCTTGATCTTCGCTCAATACAGTATGGAGATCGCGATCCACATAACATGTTATTTGAGTTACTTGGCCCCCGATTCCACAAAACCTTACAAGTGCTACGTATAAATTTACTAGACATCTATCGACGACGTCTACAATTCTCAGGACATTAACCAAAGATCGGTCCAAGGCCAAGAGCGCAATCAGAAGGAGAGGCCTCTATTCTATCTACAGAGGTTTTCAAGCACGAGCTATCATGACTCCAAACCACTCCCCACGCTTCAAACGTTGGCTGTTTACATTCATGTCGTTCGAGACAGCCCTCCTCCTCTCCCCCACAACCCACTAACATTATAATTCTGACCTACCTGGTGCAACAATCGTACTTAGATTTGGCTAAACTCGTCTTTATGTAGGATGAACGGTGAGTTGGCGACAAGCTACACGTCACGCGACCATCCGATTATCAAATAGAAAAATTTACAATTGTACTACTAAAAAGAATCTTGGGGGGTGCACATTACTTCCAAGTTCCATGTCAATTAATGCGGGAGATCGTCATAGCTGAAATTGGAAAAAATACATATCCGGATTTGGTTCCTGCATGCAGATGGGATGGGCGCATCACATTGTTCTAAAAACAACACTGTTAACCAAGAATTGGGTCAAAGCAAAAGCTTAGACTTTACTCTGTGGGTGGTTATATTGAAATAGTATCCTGTCACTATACTGCAGGTCACGACTCTTATTGTTTTCTTCGTTCGTACGAGGTCGAGTGACCATTCACAGCGTCGCGATTTAGACTATCGATGCTATCTTTGAAGTCTTCGTCTTACAATAACGGTTATACTTGAGAGCAGGCCAGGTATAGACATAAATGAAAGTAATGTAACATCAAATTGTGTTCAGAAGATGAGTAATTTGTTGTGATTCATTTGATTGAACCTCATGTGACCTAACCTTGGTTCACATCACTAGGCTCTCCTTTCCTCCCATCCTACAATTGATCGTTTATGCACGATCGAGTGTCATTTCCATGCAACTTCAAATGATGAAGCTTGATCTTCCTCCAAGCAAAACCCTCTGTCCAAAATTCCCATGCGTATTGACAACGCAGTACTACTCTATCTGTTCCAGCCCATGGCATCTTTCATCTTCTCTACTTCCTTCATCAAATATCTCCACTGTGCGCAGTTTCCGTCCCTAGCAAATATTCTTGCTGCCTCTTCCACCAAGTTCTCCAACTCAGTAAGTTGTAGCTTCTTTAGATTGTTCATTGCTTCTTTTGTCTGTGCCTGGTTTGTGCTGGTTGTTTATAAGCTGTGTTCGATATTCGGTTCAGTCTTTAGTCTTCTTTGATGCGGTATTGGGGGCACTAGATAGCTTTATTGTTCAGATCTCTGGATGAAAAATAAGAAACAGGCTGAACTCGAACCTATTATGGAACCATGAGAAGAAAATTACACTTTATGATTGAGAAGATTCAAATCACTTTACCTGTACTTCCGCATTGCAATCACATGTTTTTGCAGATTTAATCAATGGTATTTATGATTGTTCCGGGATCCCAGGTCATGAGAGCCTTTGTCAATCATTCTAGTATTCACAATTATCCCAGATCGACAATCTGAATGCCATCCTACCAGCCTGATTCCGAAAATCATTGTAAAGCTACCCACAGCAATTCGGTAGAACCCCCATCTACCCAATTCTTGCTCAACACCAGTGGTCGAATTCCTTCCCTTCACGCTCAGCACACCATCTGCATGCTCTCTCCCTTCCTTTGCCATTATCTGACTCCAATCCATAGTCTTTCTTAGTGCAACTATTTCCTTCCAGACCATGTCGAGATCTGTTAGCGTCCTGATATATTGACCGTGGTATGAGTTGGTTCTGTCAACAGCAATAGGAGGTATACCATCTCGGGCTTTGATTTCATCCCATCGTTTGTATAGAATTTTCAGAGCTGCCAGTTGGGACTCGTCGACTTTTGATTCAACCGATTTTTCTTCCATTTTCGTCGTCTCTTCGAGGTTTCCGAGTAACATCTTCAAGAATATTTCAGGAATAGTAGCCTTAAAGTTTACGGTATCTTGGTAGACGTTGTGTTCTGTTCGATCTATTGTGGCATTTTGTGTAGATGGACGAATATGATATCTTTCGTGATGTACCGAAAGGAGTTCTTTTACAATGATTCACCTGCCGTACTAAATGATATCGGGCTCTCTTGCTATGGTCCTCATGCTGAGTAAATACGGCAGTCAACACTGATGGAGTGGTGCGATTCAATCCTGGATTTTATACCCTGACTGGCCTGTTAGAAAGACCTCAGTACTGTATGTAAACCAATACGTTTCTAAACATTTCTTCGTTTCCAAAATCCTCAGCAGTGAGCATCGATGATGTTTTGGATGAAAGTCCTTCCCTCTAGGTCAGCGTCACCAAATACTACTTGAGAGTGGTCGTGATATTTAAGTCACGCGATGGTCGTTGGGTGAATGAGCTATGCACCTTGAATTGACTTAGGCAAATCATTATATCGTTGATCATTTGTACTTGTACCAGCTTTGTCATTTTATCAAGTATTAACATATCATTTCGAAATCTGGAATCACGGTATCATCTGATTATACTCTCAGCATGGAGACAAGAAAGAAACTTCAGTCCATGTCAACAGAACAGTTTATTGTCACTGGCGGATGAAACGGCAATGTACCTCATGGTGATTTCCGTGTTCTGCATGGCACTCTATATCCTTCTACTTTTTAGCCATTTAGCCGAGTAAAAATCTGCGTTTCTTCCTCCTAATATGTTTGTCTCAGTCAGCATTACACATTATGACATGCGATATTACTACAATTATACTGACCAGGGTCTTCCATTCTATAATGCCTACTCTTTCTAGTTGACGCGCTTGAGATTCTGTGAATTCTCAGTTCCGCTGCCTTAAGTCTTTTAGAATTATCACTTATGTTCAGAAAGAAAACTTCGCCAAGAAAGTTCAGTATTATGAATATTCCAGATCGCAGTCCGGCAGCCAGAAGCTTCCAGTCTTTAGATACAACTCATTCGATTTACTTGATATATTGAAATCATAGCTCCAATGCAATTATTCCAGACCATTGGCCACCCTGTAGAGGGTTAGAACAATGGCTAATTCTATATGGTTGGTTTTGTGTTTCAAGGAATATTGAAAGAAGACCGGGGGCAATCCATACCACTTCAATGCTGGTATCACTAAGTTCCCCTCATTTATCCAAGCTGCTCTCTTGTCTCAACATTGACTACTTTTTTGGTAGCCAAACCATGCTGGCATTATATGTTCCTGGTCTCAGAACTCATGGTGAACAGTCAACTATGTAAACTTCTCATCTGACAAATGTCTATATGCCACCAACGTTTTCTAAGTACACGCTCCCGTGGTTATCGTTCAGAGTATCATATCTTCTTTCTTTCGAGTTCATATACTCGGATCGAAAGCATATTCGAAGCTAAATCCTTCCCAGAACTTTTTGAGCTCAATATAACGATCAACCACTGTGTTTAAATTGTGAGATTTTCCAATTGTGATGCAGCATGTAAGGCTTTAACAATGTTGATAACTCCTACCATGTAGGTATCCAGAGACAGATGCAAAATTGATGTCAGCACATATCGAAGAACATTTCACAATTGAGGCTCCCAGAAGTACTAACTCTTCTGTTCTCATCTGAACTATTGATTTATGGCCCCTCTTGCAATGCCGTATTACTATATGTACTCAATTATGGAGTATGCGGAACCAACATACTGCCTTCAATTACTTGATCGTCATTCAATCAACTTCCACGTTCCTGTTAATTCTAGCAGGTGGCTTTTTGCCCATGTTTTCTGCTGCAACCGAAAATTAAGATAAAGCGTTTACAAAGGGGTTTAGCAAATTGTGGACAAATTCATTCAATCTTTAATGGTTGGTGCATGCAGGAGTGTCACTATTCATTCTCGGAATTAGCCCTTGTTCCCCAAAGACATGACTTTACGTCACCCTGCGCATTCTTTCTCCCCTTGCGCCTTTGGTATCTCTAAGAATCTGGATCTTTGTAGGCATGGTAGCAACAAAATAAAATACTGACGAAGGTATTCACATCTACGAGTAGTAAGTGGAAAACGGCGGCGGTAGCGTATATGGCTCGTTTCGGATTTGACCTTCCAGAAGTTCGGCTGTATTACTATCTCGCTTTGGTAAAGATATGGTCCAAGTAAGTGGCCGACAATAGAGGCCTGCCGATGTTTATATCTTGTTTTCTGTAAACAGGGAAACTTTCAGTCTACAGTGAATTCCCGATCACATATCAGGCGGTATCAAGGAGAGGGAAAACTTACGACATGTCATATGCATGTAACAAATGATACTTGTCGACCTCGAAGACTGATGCTTACGACTGCAAATGTGAGCCTATTCAGAGATTAGTGTATGTGCTCTATGGATAGGTGAATGGGTAGCTAGACGGGGGGAACTGAGGCAGCTCCAGACTTGGCTCGTGGATTTTGATTGCTCACGTTCAACAGAAGCTCGCCGAATTCGCCGCTGTAAGCACAGTAATTGGTCTTATTCAATTACCTAAGAGTCAGAAAATGCTAGTTGTAATATAACTTCACTGCTTTCCTGCAGTGTTTCGTGTGTTGTTGAGATCGGGAACCAGTTGAACTTAAATATCAACGGAATATGACAGTCGATGTCATTCAAACCAAGGTTATCATCTTCATTTCTGTGCGCTACTATTGTGCGTTAGTTGACAATCCGGCTCAGAATATATGAGTTCCCAGACATTGATAATTCATAAGGCGGAATCCAAAAGTGGTCTGAAAGGCAGTTTGGTAAATCGTCTGTCGCGGGTTTTAGGAACTACTACTACTGCGTGTCTTTCATCTTGCAACGTGATTTGTTGCACAGCATTTCATGATTTGGTGTTAAAATTATGAGCAATGGTTGCACGACGCTGATGTCCTAAAATACTCCATGGCAATTCTCTAAGCATTTAAAATGCGTATGATATTGACAATCTTGTGTTCACATTTCTCGTCAAACTCATTAATGGTGGATCTATTTTTGCTGCAAACATCACCAGTGACAACCATAGCTTATGAATTTGCTAAGCATCAAGCTTAGTGTGCAATCATAACATTGCCCATGCTAATAGGCCGACCACCTCGAGTTTGTGGCCTCACCTTTCCCTCGATGACCTGCTGCGCTCTCCATGCTGCCCACTCGTCTACGGAACGCGTCTCTGTCTCTTCATTCTCTGCCAGTTGGGAATCACTTGCTCCGGAGACGATGCATAGATCCACTGTGGTCCGGTCGAATGAGATACGCTAAACTGCGTCGTGTACAAGTTGCTTGTTTTCCAGGTGGAGTGACAACACGATGAAGATTGCTACGTAGCAACCCTCCTATCTATTCCACAAGCGAGTTTTCCAATACTGATCAGGCACACCCAGGTACTGTACGCACATAACGCCAATTGGAGCTGATGTTTCTTGCTTCCTGCGGGTAACACCTGGAAGCCCCCAACTACGTGAAATAGCATAGCGATTGTCCCGATGTAGTGTGGCCACCTAGACTGATAATTTTATCATCAAGAGTCTGTGGGCGTGCCATAAGGAGACGAAGAGATGTAGCGGAGGGCTTCTCTAAAGGTGAAAGCGCAGACAGTGTACCAGGGGCTAAACCAGATGTTTGTCTAGGTGATTCATAACCCGTGATAGAACTTCATGTAAACGAAGAAAAGATCGCTTGCAGTCTTCGCGATGTCTTTGAAAATTCCTCTGGATCTCGACGTGTAGACCGTGTACCAAGTACCTCGTCTCGACTGGGTGTATACAGTTCCATAGCATCCGTTTTGCCGTCGTCTGTCTTGAGCACTCCAGCTGGCTTGTAATTTATTGGTGGTAACAAATTCGTGTCAGTGAGTGGATCTAAGGATGATTATGAGTTCGAACTTATCCGTTCAGATCTTTTTGCATATTAAACTTATAGTCCATTAAAGTTTCGGGTCCAAGGTTAATATATCAACACTAACATCGTACATAATCTCTGCATCTTCCAACAGTTGCTTTCCCTCCTCAGACTTGTTCAAGTCGAGCAAGAAAAATCCATGTTGATGATTGATTGATTGATTGATTGATTGATTGATTGATTGATTGATTGATTGAAATTTACGTTCACCTTTATTCTAAGACTATATAGAATGGCTAGGCCTGATGGGCCCAACAAATAACTTTTTGATTTACAATATTGATTATAATCTTATTAAAAAAATAAAAACAAATATTAGGAAACAATACCCACTCATTATATGCATTATATATAATAAGAAAATTCTGATAATCAAGAAATTATAAAAAGATCAAGCCCCTTTCTTATTTCCTTAATTGTTTCTTCTTTATTATCTTCTCCTTTTTCCTTTTCCACTATTATTCCTTTCTTTATTACTTCTTATTCAAAAGTCCTTACTAAATGCTATGCCCTTATAGCGATTTGGTATATTGATAAATTTGATAGCTAATTCGATATCTATTTTGATATACAATAGGAATTGTATAGTGATTTTCGATAATGATATATTCTGGAATATCTCTTTTCTTCTATTTTGTATATAAAATAGCTAATCAGAAGGTATTGTAATATCTCAATATTACTGTATATATATCTATTATTAAAGTGATTAAATCAATATAGATATTGATTTGATATATCCATAACCTAATTTCAATTGGAAGAGTACACTAATAGTATTTCAAACTAATTCCAATTAATAACTTAATTTTCAATCCGATTTTTTATAGAAATAGTTTTTGAATAGATTAACTACTGATTAATTAGATCTAAATTTATATTAATTGAAAATTGAATTCCATTCATCGAAAAAGAATTCTTTGATTATCATTCCTAGCAATCCGAAACTAATTTCATTCGAGGTAGATTGTATTATAATAGCCTCTTTTACTAGCTTATCTACTAGTTTGTTTCCTTTAATTGATATGTGCTCTGGTACTCAATTCAAGAATA